ACACGCGAGCGAGCATGTGTTCAGTAGTGGTGCTGTAGACAGAAATTTTTAATCAACGCATGGAGGAAAGAGGATGATCGAAGACAAATGAAAAGATCATACCTGTGGATTTTCGTGATTGCGAAACCTCTAGTCTGAAGCAACATATGAAACGCATGAAAAATATTTTTCCGTGATGAAAAGTATTTTTAATTATTACGAGTACGTGGTTATAATAATGCATATGAAAAAGCGAATCGAATTGTGTTCAAAAAGCAACGAATGATTGAGTAAAATTTATACGTTTAATTTTGCATTTTATATAGAGTTTATAGAATATTTTTAAAAAATCCTTTTTTATGTATTACTCGCCATTTAAAAAAAAATCCATGACATAAAAAAATAACATGGACAAAAAAGAGAGAATGAGGGAGAGAGAGAGAGAGAGAGAGAGAGAGAGAGAAAGAGAGAGATTTACTAGTGGATATACATATATTGTTGCATGCAATGTTATTATGATAAATTCTTAAATTTTATATTTTTGACAAACATATAATATTTTTGAGCTTCATACATATTTTTACTTCTGTAGAGTTTATTATAATGTGTCATGTTACATTTTTTTTATTTCAACATATTTCAACTATTCTCTAAGAAACGTGTTTAATTTAAATGGAGATTAACAGAGTGTAGCATATCGTAGATAACAAATTTCAATACGTGGATCAAATGAAATAGCAAGATAAAGAGGAATTACTATATGAAAGGCGTATTAAATAAATAGACAATTTGTCCGTCATAGATAAAATTTTTTTGAAAGACTTACGTAAAGGTTAGGTCGAATAAAAGAAAAAAAACGTATGGCAAAACGCATCACTCTGGAAAAGTCAACGTGTGATAATCGCGTCTGCCACGAACACGTCGAGCCGTGCGCCCATAAGGAACCTCCCTGATATATTTGCGCGGAGGTCAAATGGCCGACGCAAAGAGCGTATTTCCGTGAAACGTTTCGGGGGAAACGAGGCCTCGGCTGATATATGCCCGAGCCTTACCCCTGAAAATCCGGGACGCTCTTGGCTGCTCTCCTTCGCACAATTGGGAGATTTTCGAACGGCCCATCCGTGACAGACGTCATTTTTTATCCCCCCC